CTGGGGAGGAGAGGACCAGGGCTAGGAGGGGCAGAGACCTCTGCTCACTGAATCCTGGGAAGGTGATGGGCAGGGACCAGGCTGAGAGGGACTGGAGTTCTGGAGCTGAAGAGAAACTGATGGTGGTGGGCTTGTCCGGGGGTGGGGGGTTGGGAGGGAGAGTCCTGCCGCTGACCGTGGTGGGCTTTCTCCCTGGGGAGCAGTAGGTGAGGTGTCCTGAGGAGGGGACAAAGAAGAGGGAGTGCAGTCCCCAGGGGGAGGGGGAGGTGGAGAAGTGACTGGAGGGTTGCAGACTTGGAGGCCGGTCTGGGCTGAAGGAATCTGTCTGCAGAGCATGGGTAGGGCTCAGGGAGCTAGGAGTTCCTGGGATGGGGTGGAGGAGGGAAAGAAGCCCAGAAAGAAGGCGGAGGCCGTCCCCACCTTTGGGGATGGGGAGGAGTGAATGGGAAGAAGCCTGAGGTTCCCCATTGGAAAGGATTCTGGCGGCCTGCGTGGTGGCTCACACCTGAAGTCCCAGCTACTCAGGAGACTGAGGGGGAAGGATCTCTTGAGCCCAGCAGTTTGAGGCTACAGTGAGCTATAGTTGTGCCACACAGCTCTCCAACCTGTGTGACAGAGCAAGACCTTATTTTTTAAAAAAAGAGGATTTGGGAGACATCAAAGACATAGAAAAGGGGGTAGAGTCTTGAAAAGAGATGGGGCAAGGTCCCCAGCAGCTCTGCTCCAGAATTCGAAGATCTGCAGTGATTGAAAGGAGTGGCTGGATATTTGGGGGGACGGGGCACTGAGGAATTATGGGAGACTAAAAGTGGTCCGGGGTTTCCCAGAATCAGAGATTAGGGCTGGGCAGGAAGTAAAGGGATGTGGACTGGAGAATGTGTTGGGGGAGGGAGTACAGAGGTGCCTAGGAACCATGGCGCAAAAAGAGAACTGAGCCTTCCAAGTGGCCGAGTGACCATTTCTGCGGGGGCAAGTTCCTGGTACAGGATACAGAAGCAAGACTAGGCAGCTGATCCTGTGACGAGGCCACGATGGAGACCCCTTGGCTGGAAGAGGCTGCAGCCTGCCCCATGGTACCCACCCCCTTCTGCCTCCCTGAAAGACGGTGGCGCACAGTGAGACTCAACACCCGTTAAGGCCAAGAGATTTAATGGGTTGAACGCGGTGGCTACGGGACCTGTGGGTCAGACTGTAGCGCCGAGGCAAGGGTGCTTCAGCCTTTATGGGGGCTTAGGGCGACCTGTCAGTGGATTATTGGTCGGCTGGCAGAGCTCCATCCAGGTTGGTGGGTTTTTCGCGGGCACGGGGAAAAGGTGAGCCGGACTGTGGAAGAAGAATGTTTCAGACGCCCCCTTTGTTTGTCGGGTGGCCATTTTAGGCAGGGGTCGGGTTTAGGCCTCTTTCCAGGAAAGGGAGGGGATGTGGATCTACTTGTGGCTGGGGGGGGCCCTTCATTCCCACCTCTTTGGTTATACGGGAGAGGGGCAGCGTTTGTCCGGCTACTTCCTGCTGACAGTGGGCGTCAGTGGGTGAGGTGGGTGGTGGTCTGCTTCCACATCATCACAAAGGGGCAGGCAAGCACAGGTACTGATGATGTCAGTTGATGGAGGGCAGGCAGATGGGTGGGTTAGTCACATGATTGCTGCCATGGTGGGGCTTAGCAGTGTCAGTAGTTCCCAGAGGGCTGATTAGGTTAACCTGAGGGGAATTTCCTTTAAGAGACTTGTTAGACATTTGCAGTTCACAAATTCCTTGACCAAAGAAGTGGGGCGGTCATTTGGGTTGTCCTGATCTTGTATCTGAAGATTTGCCTAGGGAGGATGGGATAGGCTGCTGTTTGTCCTTCAGCAGAATGTCTGAATGCTTGCTAATCGCTACACTGAGGCCAAAAGACTAGGAATAAGCTAAGTTTCTTCTAGGTTTCTATAGGTACCTTTCATTCCCTGTCCCCAGCTAAGTAAGAAGTACGGACCCGTGTTCACCGTGTACCTGGGACCCTGGCGGCGTGTGGTGGTCCTGGTTGGGCACAAGGCTGTGCGGGAGGCCTTGGGAGGTCAGGCTGAGGAGTTCAGCGGGCGGGGAACCTTGGCGATGCTGGACCGGACTTTTGATGGCCACGGTGAGTCATGAGGGGCGGTGGGGGCTGTAGGGCTCTGCACTCACAGCCTGTTAACACTTGCTGGCATGGGACCTTTGCACAGGGCTGTGTGCCTCAGTTTCCTTACGTACAGCGGGGTGATAATAGTGCCTATCACAAAGGGTTGCACTAAGACCCGAATGAGGACAGGGCCTTGCACAAAATGAGACTCACAGATCACCTAGTATCAGTGACAGCCATCACAATTGTTATCCATGATGCTCAGGAAGAGTGGACCAGCTTCCAAGGCTCTGGGAATTGGTGGGCAAGTGTTCAAAACGGAGAAACCAGCCTCTGCAGGGTGCTGCCAAGAACACTGCAGTGACTAAGACAGCCCCAGTCCTCCCCCAGAGAGCCTAGGCCAGTGGGGAGATAGACCCGTCATCAAATGGTGACAGCCTAGAGTGGTCAGGGCCAGGATGGGAAAGATGGAGAAAGTCTGGGGGAGGCCCAGGTGGAAGGGTTGGGCTGGGATTCTCAGGCCCAGGTGGAGGAGTTGGGCCAGGAAGCAGAGATCCAGGCAAAGAGGTCAGGGACAGAATGAGGGAAAGCTAGGTGGAAGTAATAGGGCTTAGATGGGGAGGCCGAGGTGGAAAGATTGGGCCAGGATTGTGAGATCCAGGTAGAACGATTGGGGCGCAAATGAGGAGGCTCAGGTGACAGGGTTAGGCCAGGAAACAGAGGCCCAGGTGAAGGGATTGGGGCTGGAATGAAAGCTCTGGGACTGTAGGAATCTGGAGGAGGTGCCTGACCCAGCCTGTTTGTTGAGGAATATCCAGAAAGTCTTTCTGGAAGAGAGGATGCCTGAGCTGAGACTCATAAGATGAGCGGGAAGGGTATTCCAGACAGAAAGTCCAGCTCATAGAAAAGCATGGAGGTGAGAGAAGAAGCATTCATCCATTCATTGGATACATTTTCACTATGCCTCGCCTTGTACTAGGTACCAGGGACACAAAGGTGACCAAGACAATATGATATCCTCATTTATTGTGGAAGAGGCAGGCTTGTCATAAGACAGTGGAAGGAGGGAATAGAATTCTAAAACAAGAGGTACAGCTTTGAAAGCAAGCCATGGGGCATCTGGGACCTGTATAGAGATGGGGAGGGAGTCGGGGAAGGATTCATCAGAGGTCAGGCTGAGAAGTTAAGTGGGTGGGGAACCTTGACGATGCTGGACCGAACTTTTGACAGCCATGGTGAGTCATGAGGGGAGGTGGGGGCTGCAAGGCCCTGCACTCAGAGTCTGATACCACTTCACCTGGGAGGTGAAGCATGACCTAGATGAAGCCTTCAAATGTCACCAGGGGAGGTGACATTTGAGCTGAGACATGAAAGATAAGTGGAATTAGTTCACCAAGGATGGAGTGGGGGGTAAGAGTGATGCAGACAGGCCGGGCTCGGTGGCTCAGCCTGTAATTCCAGCACTTTGGGAGGCTGAAGTGAGTGGATTGCCTGAGCCTGCGGGTTCGAGACCAGCCCAGGCAACTAGGTGAGACCTTGACTCTACAATTTAAAAAAAAAAAAATTAGCTGGACATGGTACCATGTGCCTGTAATTCCATCTACTTGGGAGGCAGAGGCGGAAGGATCACTGGAGCCCAGCAGGTCGATGCTGGAGTGGCCATGAACATGCCACTGCACTCCAGCCTGGGCCACAGAGTGAGACTCCAATTCTCAAAAAAAAACCCAAAAACTGATGCAGACAGAGGGAACAGCAGGGGCAAAGGCCTGAAGAAATTCTGACACCTGTGGGGATGTGAGAGGAGACTGGTGCAGTTGTTGTGGGATGAGTAATAAAACTGAGAAGTCAGCAGGAGCCTTGGTCACGCTGGGCCTGTGAGTCACACCAGAGTGTTGGGGCTTTTGGTTTTCCTGGGAATAGTAGATTTTAGTCAGTAAAGACCTATAGTCAGCGTTAGAAAGATCTAATTGCTTGTGGAGGGAGCAAAACGGAGGGCTGGAAGCCTAGGGAAGGGACTGGGCTGGACCAGAGCTGGGGTCGTGGGTGGCAAGGAGGGGTGATGGAGAGACCTCAGGGCAAACCAAGGGGACAGGGATTGTGTGGTGGGTGAGACAGTCAAAGGAGAGATGCTGAGGCCAGTTTGGGACACGGTGGGGGAAGGATACAGGAAACAACCAGGAGAAAGTGTCCAGGAAGCCACTGCAGGCCAGTATTCAACAGACAGGGCCTGTCTGGGGCAGGTGTCTTGGATATAGGAAGAAACAGTGCAGTTCCCTCTTCCTTCCTCTCTGTTCAACCTCCAAACTGCATGGGGCACGGGACTCAATGGTACTCCATAAATGTTGGAATGGCCGGGCTCGGTGGCTCAGCCTGTAATCCCGTGCCTTTGGGAGGCTGAGGTGA